GGAGGCCGAACACCAGTTGTGGGGGTCGTACAACCTTGCGAAGATGGATAAATTCCAGTGGTTGTGTGTCGTGAATTAACTTTGAAAAAAGAGAGAGAAAAAAGCAGAAGGTCTGGTTCACCAAATTGGGGCAGGTGCTGAGAATGGTGTCGGTGTGTTGTTGGTTTCCTGTAGTGCGCTGCGCCGTGCTCTGCTTGAGCAGCTAGCGTGTGTCCTTTTGTTGTTTCTCTTTCCATGGTTTACGCCCCATCGTTGGACGCATCTTATTTTTTTTCCCCCGCTTAGCAGAGGTGAGCAATCGAGAGGAATAGGTGGTGGCTTTCTTTGCATTAGTGGAGGGGTGAGCCTTCCATCATGGACTTCGCAAGCAACCGCACTGCTAGCGTAGCAGGGGCGAATAAACACGTTGGTGTTTCCTCAATTCACGTAACGGAATATGTGATGATTCCACCCTTCTACATCGTGCTCGCGGCGAGTCTTTCTTACTGTCTTTGTAACGCCGCATTCAATTACATAACATCCAGTCGGAGCAAGATATCCCGAACGGTGGAGAAGTGGGGAAGACTTCTATGGTTAACTCGGCGTTTCTTGATAGTTAAATCGGATGTTGGCGATGATGCTACCAAAACAGAAAACCCAGGCAGGATATGTGATGAGTCAAGTCTTCTTTTAAGCCGAAATAGAGTTTCTACGGATTACACTGACAATGCGGTGTTCTTTCAGGGAATGACGCATCCTGAAACACTGGCGGACGCATCGCCGGTGGTACCTGCCTCGGTGGTAAATGAGGCGCTGCTGGACTCATTGCATTGTGTGAGGCTGGAAGCCCAGCGAATGGTATTTGTGTACAATCCAACATACATGATTATTGCAACCGCAAAGAGCTTGACGATGTTGGTAGTGCTGCAGTATCACTTCGATCAGAAGGGCGGGTGGGACAGGCTTGTCGTGTGCTCCGCTGCAAACCTGATGAGCGGGCTGCTCACTCCCATCCTGGAGTATGGCGCGGGGCTTCTCCTGCCCCTCGACCGCGATCACCGGGAGAAGGCCGTGGCGGTCGAGGCGGAGGAGCCGAAAGACTCGGTGCTCATCGTGGAGATCCTTGTGCGCATAGGCCGGTTGGAGCTGGATGATCTCGAGACAGTGCTGATACAAGGGAGTACGTTCATTGTGTTTGGTGCCGTTCTTCTGCCTGCAGCGATTGTGTTCTGTGTGGTGGGGTTTGCCGCCTTCATGTGGGTGTTTGCGCCCTTCTGGCTGTGTTACATGTTGGTGCGCTACCTGTACTACCGGTGTGGTGGTGTCGCAGCGCAGAGGGCGGCTGGTAGACCACAGGATGTGCTGTTGACTCCAGCGGGTGAGTTCGCAAAGGCAGCATTGCTGAAAGTCTTGACGTTGTTCCTGTTGCAGTGGGCAGTGCAGTGCAGTTTTCTGTTTGGATTGGTGTTACTGCAGGGTGGGTGGTACAGTGAAGCGTTGCAGCTGGAGGCCGAACACCAGTTGTGGGGGTCGTACAACCTTGCGAAGATGGATAAATTCCAGTGGTTGTGTGTCGTGAGTCAGCTGTTTTTTTAACTGGTACTAATCGTTTGCGCTACGAGTATAAAGTTCCTTTGTGGTGACGTGCTGCACCCTTTTTTGTGCAAATTCAACAAATCAATGATGCCTGAACGGTTCCCTTCGCTTTGCTATCTTGTAGCAGGGTTTAATATAGGTATAACGTATATGCTGCGCTCACGGCGTCCCGTGACAGTGCTGCACGCGGCGGACCGCTGGCTGGTGCGGTCGTATGCTTCGACGGTAACACTTCTTCAGCTGCAGGCGCGTGAGCGTCTTATTTTGGGTACCCATGGCGCAGGCATTGTGCGCCATGACTCCATGTCACAGCAGACGGGCAGCAATCTTCCCAGCTCGGTGACGGTAGCGGCTCCTGCGGCGGACTTGTTTCGCACCAAGGTCCATGAGGGAACAGGGACGGGGGAGAGGGACCCGTACATGCGCACACTTCCAAATCAAAAGAGCACGGAGCCGGAGAGCTCCGTCGCACGAGCCAACATCATGCTCGCACCGACAGTTGATGAGTGCATTGCACTTAACACAAAATGGGGCAGCATGCATTACTGGCTTGGGGACCAATTCCCACGGCTCTCGGTGTATTTGAAACAACTTCAAGTCCCCGATGTGCCGCCGCTTTCCCCCGCAGCGGAGGCGCTGCTTTCGAAGTTTGAAACGGGCGTCATCCCAAGGTTGGCTTCAGATGAGGTGGACCGTGAGAAACTCACGGCGTTGTGGAAGGACGTGGTGAGACAGGCCGATGCACTTGTCCAAGAACACATTTGTGACCGCACCGCATTTGAATCAAAACTGTCCCGTGTTTGCGATGATGCAGTGCAGCAGCTGCGCACATTGTCGCTGGTGGGGTCGGAGGGAATCTTAGCGGTAGAGGCGCTGCGGCGCCGGACGCTTATAGGACGCAACAAGCTTATTCAGGAGCATCTGATTGATGTCACCGAGAACGGTGCCTATCTGGGGTTTGGAGATGCGGTGTGGCAGGTGTTCTTCCGCGCCGTGGAGTCCAGCAAGGCAGAGTTCTTGAGCGAGAGGGCGCCGAAGGCCCTCCGCGTTGCGTGGGATGCGATCATGCGGGAGGATGTGGTGCGGCTCCCGGATGTCACTGCGCCCGTTGCGCTCTACCTGACGCTCGTGTGCATCGACGAGAGCGGCAGGCTTGCGGTGGGTGATCTGAAGGAATCGTCGTCGAGCCTCTGCGAAACCGTGCGGCCTTGTTTCAAGGAGCAGCAGCCACCACCACTTAACCTTCTTAACCCTGTGGTGAAGCGCCGCTTTGTGGCGAGGACCGTCGCCGAGATGCTGCAGGCCCCGTCGTCTAACGCATTTTCCAAGGCGCTTCGGGAGGATGGCCAGCACGACGTCAGTCGTGTGGTTGCTCTTTGCGAGGCGATGAGCAGCAGCCACAAACTCTTTGAGGACGATGTGGCAGATGCTGTTGGTCGCTTCGAGAGCACGAGCGAAGTCAAAACCCTGCTCTCCTCCCTCATGGGGGGAACGGACGCCGCTGTGCGGGACACGGTTTCCAACATATTGGGAGTGACTGGCACGACTGCTGTGAACTGGGACGTCGTGATGCAAAGCGTCGATTGGACGAACAACTGGCGTCAGTTAGCGACTGGACTTCTCAGCGATCCAGGTGTGCTGGTGGCTGTCCATAAGCACGTCAAGAACGCGATTGGAGCGAAAGGAGTGTCCAAGCATCTCTTCACTGAAGAATATGCGGAGCAGCTGCAGCTCATCGTCAACGCTCGTGAAGAACGAGAGGTGTCACGGAAGCTCAAGATTGAAAATGTTGTGCAAGAGCTCTCCTCTTACCAGAAGGTGGATCATGTGTGTCACATACTCCGCCAACTGGGTGTTGACATGACAGAGCTCGATCAAGCAGCTGCATCGATCCTCGAGAAAGGTCTCGTGAAAAGGCCTCATGTAGATGAAGGCGTGAAGGCTCGTGTGCTTGAAGCTGTGGCTGGTCGTCACCCAAACTGGGTGCAGGTCGGTGTTGTTCAGCCAACAGTGAAGGATTCTGTGGAAGCTCTTCGATGCATGTTGCACATCTTCATTCGCCTTGCGTACGTTCCACAAGCGGGAGCTGCAGCAATAGCGCAGCGCTCCCGGCGTCGCATTGGTCTCATTGGTTTGGAGCCACACCAGTTCAACGTCCCAACGGAAGTTGGCTTTGTCGAACAGTATGACAACCTGCAGTACAAACGGTACGACTGGCAAGGTTGGTATCAACGGATGGTCGATGTGCATAACCGCAATGTCTCTTTACGCTGCCGCATCGATGATTTGAAGCGAATAGATGGGAATGGTGTGCCGTTTGTAGACATGCAGACAGAGCGTCGGCTACGCATCCTGGCTCAGGAGCATGTTGGCATGGGCGTGCTGAAACTCGACTCAGATAAGTACGAGGATCAGGCGGACAATATGACATTTGGCGCCGTGAAGCTGTCAGAGCTCTTGGCAGACGCGCGGAAGGCACAACTCGGGGAGGAGTACTGGCCCTCCGTGGAGCTCAAGGTGCGCAAGCCGAGCGGACAAAGCAAAGCACACTACTCGCTCATCGACTACGACCGCGTTGAGAACCGCAGCAAGGAGCTCTACGAAAAGTACCGCGATGCGAAGAAGAAAAGTTTGTTTGTCACGCCGATGGATATGTGGCTCGACGTGAAGGGTATGCAGGTGCGGAAGGCCACGGAAAGCGCCGACACCGAAGGCTACACCGTTGACACGCTGCAGGACGTGCTAGGAAGTGAGGAGAGCGAGAGAGGTTTGTGATGCACGTGCAAATACATGGTGGTACCCGTGGATTCTGTGGAAGAGGAGCAATGCGTGTGGAAAGACCCCTGCGCATTGCGGTTACGGTGGTGACGCTGAGGAGAATAAAAAGAAAGGTGGAGGCGTTTGGCGAATAGCTTATCACAATTTCTACTGATGAATGCGAGGTTCGATTTGACTATTTCTGCAATGTGTGTCTAATTGTTTCTCTCTTGCACATTGTCTCCTCCTCCCTCTCTATTTCTCGCCCCTTCTTATTCCTGCCTCTTGAACTTGCGGCGCCATGACGTAGAGCCTGAAGGTGGCGCGCACGCGTGGGCATGCGATGCACAACGCGGAGGCACTCTGCAGCAGTGGACATGCCCTCTCCGCCTCCGTTGACGTGACGTCAGCGACGCTGCAGCACTTGCGGGAGCAGCAGACGATGGGTCATCTTCTTCGACTAGAAGCGTTGAATTGGGAATGGCTTGCTTTGTCGGAGAAGTGTTCAAAGTTCCGTCTGGGCTCTAAGCGTGCTGCAATTGTCGCCGCCAAGCACAGGGAGGCTGCGCTGCGGGCCACACTATTCGCGAAGAGACTCAGGGAGCTACTCAATGGTAGTGTGCACAGACACCACCAGCAGGAATGCACATTGGATAACTTTTCCTATTCCTCAGCGAGCGCCATTCGTGTAGTATCTTCACTAACGGAGCTGCATTCTGCTGATGCACAGGTGGTGGAGAAACTGCTTGGCCACACGCTTGCTGTTATTGACAGCAGCCACACCAAAAACAACAATCATTTCAGCTACACGACTCTGCACGCAGCCCTGGCACACTGGCTGCAGTCCCACTACCTCGCACGGTACACCACGCAGTACCTCCCATTGGCTTCAGGCCTTGCTACAACGCATTTGTCTCTCTCACTTGAAGAGCAATGCAAGGTAGAAAAGCGGCTCATGGCACAAGAGGCCCAACAGCGCCAAGAAGAACGCAGGCGTGCACAAGAAGCACGACGCACACAGCTCTCCATAGCAAAGGAACGTCTAGAGAAAGCTCAGCGCAATGCTTTTGACCTACGAAAACGATTATTCATTCTGCGCGAATGGCTTACCGGGCAGCAGCGACTTCCATCCGGCAAGCTCCTTAACGCTATTATGTGCAGCGAAGTAATTTGTCGCATTCAAGCCGACGTGGCCGTTGGCGAACTAGAATTTGTGCTTCAGCTGACGGCAGACAATGGTAGAGCACTAAATAACTTTGCAGCCTAGACCCACTGCCTCTATCGAAAGCGCCTCCTACCCATCACAGGTTGCGAATACACACACAACCCATCAAAAACGACACCATAAAACACAAACACCAACGAGAATCCACTACTAACTGCTTCCATCACTTACATCCGGAACTAAACAGCTATTCTTTTCTTACACTTAAACCAACAAAAACTTCAGTCAAAATAAGGGTCCAGCAACGATGTCCACCGCCACTCTGAGCGCATACAAGGCCCAGCTCGGGCTCGCCGAGCGCCGCGCGGAGAGCGCCCGGCTTGTGGAGCGCCACCCGGGCATGGTGCCTGTCGTGTG